CTAAATGCCAAAGTCGGAATAGACAACACTGGATATGAAGATATTATGGGACGACATGGACTGGGAGAAAGAAACGAAAATGGAGAAAGATTTGCAAATCTATGTGCATTCAACAAATTGGTCATAGGAGGCACAATATTTCCACACAAGCGTATACACAAGGCTACATGGATCTCACCGGACCACACTACAGAGAACCAAATAGATCATATTTGCATCAACAAAAAATTCCGAAGGACAATGGAAGATGTGAGAACCAGGAGAGGTGCTGACGTAGCTTCAGATCACCACCTAGTTGTAGCCAATTTAAAACTGAAGCTAAAAAAGAACTGGACAAGTGGACAAACAGCACTACAAAGGTTCAATACAGCCTTCCTTCGAGATACTGACAAACTCAATGAATTCAAGATAGCTCTCAACAACAGGTTCCAAGCCTTACAAGATCTACTGAAGAAGAAGAAACTACTATGGAGGACAACTGGAAAGGCATCAAGGAAGCATTAACTTCAACGTGTCAAGAGGTTCTGGGCCTAAAGAAACACCATCATAAGGAATGGATCTCTATAGAAACACTGGACAAGATCAAAGAAAGGAAGAACAAGAAGGCAGCAATTAACAACAGCCGAACACGAGCAGAGAAAGTCCAAGCACAAGCTGAATACATAGAAGCAAACAAACAAGTGAAGAGGAGCATTAGAGCCGACAAGAAGAAATACGTGGAAGAACTAGCAACGACGGCAGAAAAAGCTGCTAGAGAAGGAAATATGAAACAGCTTCACGATACAACGAAGAAACTAGCAGGGAAATACAGTAAACCAGAGAGGCCGGTCAAAGACAAAGAAGGCAAGCCAATCACCGAAATTCAACAACAGCGTAACAGATGGGTAGAATACTTCGAGGAACTCCTGAATAGGCCGGCTCCAATGAATCCACCGGACATCGAAGCAGCACACATAGATCTTCCTATAGATGTCAACCCACCAACGACGGAAGAAATTAGAATGGCCGTCAGACAAATCAAGAACGGGAAAGCAGCAGGACCCGACAACATACCAGCTGAAGCACTGAAATCAGACATCGAAGCAACCACAAGCATGCTTACCTTCTATTCAAAAAGATTTGGGAGGAGGAACAAGTGCCGATGGACTGGAAAGAAGGACACCTCGTCAAGATTCCAAAGAAAGGAGATCTGAGCAAATGTGAAAACTACAGAGGCATTACACTACTGTCAATACCAGGGAAAGTCTTCAACAGAGTGTTGCTGAACCGGATGAAGGATGCAGTAGACGCCCAACTTCGAGATCAACAAGCTGGATTCCGTAAGGATCGGTCGTGCACAGACCAAATTGCAACACTACGGATCATCGTCGAACAATCAGTTGAGTGGAACTCATCACTATACATCAACTTCATTGATTATGAAAAGGCATTCGACAGTGTAGATAGGAGGACATTATGGAAACTTCTTCGACACTACGGAGTTCCTGAGAAGATTGTCAACATTATCCGGAACTCATACGACGGACTACAGTGCAAAGTAGTGCATGGAGGACAGCTGACAGATGCATTCCAAGTAAGGACTGGAGTCAGACAAGGCTGTTTACTCTCTCCCTTCCTCTTTCTTCTGGTGGTCGACTGGATTATGAAGACCTCGACATCTGAAGGAAAACACGGAATACAATGGACAGCTCAGAATCAATTAGACGATTTGGACTTCGCAGACGACCTAGCCCTCCTATCACGTACACACGAACAGATGCAGATGAAGACAGCCAGTGTAGCAGCAGTCTCTGCATCAGTAGGCCTCAGCATACACAAAGGGAAAACCAAGGTCCTCAAATTCAAAGCGGAAAACAGCAATCCAATCACTCTTGATGGCGAAACTCTGGAAGATGTAGAGTCCTTCACATACCTAGGAAGCATCATCGATGAACAAGGAGGTTCAGATGCAGACGTAAAGGCGAGGATCGGCAAAGCAAGGGTCGCATTCCTACAATTGAAGAACATATGGAACTCAAAACAACTTTCAACCAATATCAAAGTGAGAATCTTCAATACGAACGTCAAGGCAGTTCTACTGTATGGAGCTGAAACTTGGAGAACTACAACAACCACAATCAAGAAAGTACAAGTATTTATAAATAGCTGTCTACGCAAGATACTCAACATCCATTGGCCGGATACCATCAGCAATAGCCTTCTGTGGGAGAGAACAAACCAACTTCCAGCTGAAGAAGAAATTAGGAAAAGACGATGGAAATGGATAGGACATACATTACGCAAATCGTCAAACTGCATCACGAGGCAAGCCCTAACTTGGAATCCTGAAGGGAAGCGAAAAAGAGGAAGGCCAAAGAACACATTGCGTCGGATAATAGAAGCAGATATGAAAAGGATGAATTACAACTGGACGGAGCTAGAAAGGATTGCCCAGGACAGGGTTGGATGGAGAATGCTGGTGAGTGGCCTATGCTCCTTCACGAGGAGTAACAGGCGTAAGTAAGTAAGTAAGTAAGTAAGTAAGTAAGTAAGTAAGTAAGTAAGTAAGTAAGTAAGTAAGTAAGTAAGTAAGTAAGTAAGTAAGTAAGTAAGTAAGTAAGTAAGTAAGTAAGTAAGTAAGTAAGTAAGTAAGTAAGTAAGTAAGTAAGTAAGTAAGTAAGTAAGTAAGTAAGTAAGTAAGTAAGTAAGTAAGTAAGTAAGTAAGTAAGTAAGTAAGTAAGTAAGTAAGTAAGTAAGTAAGTAAGTAAGTAAGTAAGTAAGTAAGTAAGTAAGTAAGTAAGTAAGTAAGTAAGTAAGTAAGTAAGTAAGTAAGTAAGTAAGTAAGTAAGTAAGTAAGTAAGTAAGTAAGTAAGTAAGTAAGTAAGTAAGTAAGTAAGTAAGTAAGTAAGTAAGTAAGTAAGTAAGTAAGTAAGTAAGTAAGTAAGTAAGTAAGTAAGTAAGTAAGTAAGTAAGTAAGTAAGTAAGTAAGTAAGTAAGTAAGTAAGTAAGTAAGTAAGTAAGTAAGTAAGTAAGTAAGTAAGTAAGTAAGTAAGTAAGTAAGTAAGTAAGTAAGTAAGTAAGTAAGTAAGTAAGTAAGTAAGTAAGTAAGTAAGTAAGTAAGTAAGTAAGTAAGTAAGTAAGTAAGTAAGTAAGTAAGTAAGTAAGTAAGTAAGTAAGTAAGTAAGTAAGTAAGTAAGTAAGTAAGTAAGTAAGTAAGTAAGTAAGTAAGTAAGTAAGTAAGTAAGTAAGTAAGTAAGTAAGTAAGTAAGTAAGTAAGTAAGTAAGTAAGTAAGTAAGTAAGTAAGTAAGTAAGTAAGTAAGTAAGTAAGTAAGTAAGTAAGTAAGTAAGTAAGTAAGTAAGTAAGTAAGTAAGTAAGTAAGTAAGTAAGTAAGTAAGTAAGTAAGTAAGTAAGTAAGTAAGTAAGTAAGCTTTTCATTTCATTAATATCAATGTAAAAGAAAATGTCTGAGAATCCGAAAGGCAAGTTAACTAATTCACTACAAATGAATGTTCTGAATCTTTCCATTGAAACTTTAACAGGGATATATGACAGAGTATTTACGAGATTATTTACCTAAATATTTTCAATAAAAGTTATTTACAATAAACAAATCATATATGAATAAACCATTACTATAATCAATATTAATTACCATAAAAAATTAGGAACTGAAACATTACTGACACAGTTAACTTTCTAACTTAAATTTGATATTTTACGAGTGATCATATGGATGACGGTTCAGTGGTGCTAGAGGTTAGGCGTTCGTTCGTGAGACCGATAGGTCCTGGGTTCGAATCTCGCGAGGGCGGGATTGTAGATACGCACTGCTGAAGGAGTCCCACAATAGGACAAAACGGCCGTCCGTGCGTTTAGGTTTTTCACAATGGTCTAGCTTCAATTGGCTCATAATTTCAACTATTAAAATCACTATAGTATCCACAAAACCCCTTCTAATACTGATTTATAATTATTGAAAAGTATCATTGCTCCGAAATAAAAACGGAAGGTTAAATGCCTTAATGAAAAAACACTTCATATTATTTATTTGTATGACATTTACCAATGAAAGTTTCTTTTAATCGTGAATTTTTTGACAAGTAAGTATAATAAGTCAAACCTTTCAAAATCAGGTGGATATATCTCCTTACCTATTTACTTGGAATGCAGTTATATAAAATATCAGAGTCTATTAACTATGTATAATTCCTTAGAGAATAACGAAATTTCATACCACCGTTGTTAGTAGTCTGCTTTCCAACTTTTATTTGATTCCCTGGAGTTATAAACTATGTGAATGAGATAAATGTCAAAGAACTACGGAAACTAGAGTAATTCAGTGATCTCAATTCACCTTTTAACTTAACGGAATTAAATGACTTCTAGTTTATCAATTTTCAATGATTTATAATAGTATAATCCTTAAGTGAAAATAGACAATCATTCACTACCTAATCGAAACGGCTTATAATAAAAAAATATGTATTTGTATATTGATCAAAGTAAGAAGCTATTTTAATTTATCAATGGCTACTGATTGCTTCCTAATAGAAAATAAATGATAATGTGATGTAGAAAATACTAAGGAACTGAACTGATACTCTCGTATGATTGTAAATAAATAAATATTTACTTTAAAATGAGTTATGATTATAAAATTGATAAGTGTCGGTTGAAAATATTGAGTAAGATTGAGATGTTTCCAGATCTCTGGTGTTAATACAACACAAACATGATTTGTCTATCGAGAGTTATTCGAAATATTACGAGAATAAACGGATAAGTAATTTCATGTACGGTGTGAAGAATCTTATTTTCTACAAGTAGTGACATTCGCTCATTAAATATTCCAATAAGAAATTGTTGGAAAAGTGTAGTAGTTATTACGTTTTTGATAAATGAGATTTAAATGAGCAATAGCTTTTATAATTAATTACCATAAATATTCTATGATGATATTTTATATCAAATTTAGTTGGTCATTTTACAAAATCAAATATTTGAAACACTACAACTTACTTTACTTTGAATAATTTCTGGAGCTAAATATTCAGGAGTACCACACAGTGTGTATGTTCGATATTTCACGTGTTTAACAAAGCCAAAGTCAGCAATCTGTAAAAACAGAGATGATAAAGAGTGTTCTTGGGAATACATACCTAACATACTGAAATATTTATTGTTTACATACGTAAATTAATGAATAGATAGAAAGCTAACAGTTCTTAAACAAATAATCCAATAAATATTCTTTGGTAAAAGAACGACAATCGCAATCAACAGTAGGAGACTTCATGAACAATTAAGGTAGACTTCTGTTTTCTTTCTTGGTATAAATAGTCCCAACACATATCTCTTATCTAAGCTAAAAGAAAATAGTTTACCATCAGCTAAAAATCGCGAAAAATTTCATTCTTATCACGTATGCGTACTTCTAAACATTTTGATTCATTAGAACATTAATTTTACTATTTTACTCAATATTTATTATAAAGCCTAACAAAGATAATGCAGTTGTCAAAATAAAGTTCATACTTATATAAAATCTTATATACTAATCCGTTTGCATGAAAAGTACTTAATACAAATTCCAGTTGTTTCACGTAATTCTAGAAAGCTCCGATAACATCACTAATTATAGTTTAAATTAATCCACTCTGTAGTGAATAGCTTCATCAAATTACGAAACAAGAGTAAAACAGATTAAATACCATCATTCATTTTTAAATACTCATAAAAGACGTAATGCATTTGATTTAACTGTAACCTGTTATTGAGTTTAAAGTGAAAATTTTATTCTCAACTTCATTTTAGGTTCATATTTTAGCAGATATCCCCTACATGTATGTCAGCTCAACGTTTCCCGGCTAAACTTTCAGAACTAATTGCGGTGAAAGTAACAACAATTCTTAAATAATGTCTACACACATGTTCATTCAAAGTGATTTGATTACAATTGCAAATTAAGCTAACTTAAGACAAACATACAAACATCAACGGCAAATATTCTGTTATGAGCTTCATCACACTTGAATAGCTGTTTTTTAATCGAATCTTCAAACGAACCATACTATTTCTTATATTCTTGTTAATTAAACCAATAATTCGAGTTAAACTAACGTTTTGTATTATCCAAGTCTCTCTTTGTAACATAATCGAAAGTCAATGCAGTTTAAATGTCAGGTAATGTCAAAACATCCTCTGAGTTTACATGATATTGAGATTCGAATCTTTTTATACATACGAAACATGTTGAAAAACCACGAGTACAATTTTTAACGACATATATGTTTCTAAATTCACTTTGAAATTAACTTTAACGTATTTTTACACAACAGAGACTAGTAAATAATGAAATAATAAGGAGGTAAGCTATATCTTAAAACTACGGAAAATGTTTGCTGCATCCTTTTAATTATAGAAATTTCTTGATAAGCGTAAGATTAGATAAAATCAAATGTAAGAGATAAAGAATAAGAATATAATTAATGTACTTTAACACTTAATCATGAATCCTTATGTTTCAAATAATAGACTCGAACCGTGAAAGGTTACTTTATAGGTACACGTGTGAATAATTTATTTTTTACTCGTTGTAAGGCCACAAAATTTCAACCCCACTCTGTATGTATAGCAATTTATACTACAACTTGATCAGAAACATTTGTTTTAAGGGCCTATTCGTTGTCGTTTGAAGCTCGAGTCATTCACCAATGAATGTCCATTTTCTATAACCATTGGTAGAACGGAATTCACACATTTCATAAAAAAACTTCAGTTGAATGCTTTCTCTTGACAGAAATATATTTATATTTCATGGGACCTGAAGCATCACTTGTTTTGCTTTCTTAAATAAATCATGAATGTCTCGAAATCTCTTAAAAACGTCATGCTAGCAAATCTAGAGCCTAACTCTTGAGTTTTGCTCCAAACTTTATTGGAATTTAACTTGAAACAAAACAGATTCAATTGGCTCAACTAAGTTATATATCTAAAAAAATGTTTATTTTTTTAAAATTGCCTAGTTTATTGGATCAGTCATTTAGAAAAGAGAGCGAACTAAAAGTAAAAATTTTTCACTGGGCTCAAATAAAACAAAAACAATAAGTCCTCCCCTGATTATGAATGCACACCCTTTGTATTAAAGTGTAATTCGTGAGTGCTCATCACAGAAATACTCTAGAAATCTGACTTTAACAATTGTCTAGTTTCTATCGGGATTATTTATCAGAACCAACAATATTTTCTTTTCATCTTCCAACGGTTTAAAATAATGCACAGAAGATGGAACGTCACTAATACAACATAGCAGATATCTCGAAACATTATAGTGAATGTAGGCTCATGGATTTTGAAGACGTATCCTGTAGTCATACTTAATTTCTGCCTAAGGTTGTCGACTATATTTAATAATGCGACTATAAGGATGAATACAGGCCCATGAACGATCATGAATAAAAGTCAACGTTTTTTAATTTTCACACTCAAATCTCAGTACAGTATGCCTTAACAATAACTCCATAGTTTGATACTTTGAGTTAATATCTCGTCATTCAAAAATAAATTGTTTCTCATAATAATGAACTTTTTATAGTGAAGTTGGAGAATGACTCCATTTTGTGGTCACTAGCTTACTAAATTCATATGTATTACAAATATTTTAATTTCAGTAGTGATAGGTGAAAACATATATATTAATACAAGCCCAGTTGAACTTAGAACACTGCTTTAGCAAAATCGCAACAAAGTCTAATTAACACAGTCTCACTTTAGATTACTGTCTTTACATTTTAGAATAATCTCAAAAGACTGCATTTAGTTACCTGATTAAGCAAACATGTTACAGTTTACTGAATTTGCTACTTGACAATATTTTATTTTAAAAATATTGTGACTTATTCAACTACCAATTTTCGTATCAATGTCTGTAAATGGTCTAAATTACCCAACTAGAACGTTTTCTTGTAGATAATGATTGTATAATATATAGACCGAATCCCAATTCTTACCTGGTACCATACATTTCAGTAATGAGCATTTATTCCTATAATTGTCATCAACGTTGAAAGTTCTTACTTAGTAAACAGACAGACATCACAAAAATGGTTGGATTTGAATCCAACTGACTACACTTTAAATTCAGGAAGACCAACCATCGTACAACATCAAACTTGTTGAAGTAAATAAGTAGTTGAATATTCACTTTGATACACCTAATCACTTAGTGACTCATTAATATACACCCAACATAAAGAAAACTGGTGTACTATTGGGTAACTATACCTTTCAAATCGGTAATTTAGTTCAAAACCCTTTGAAAATAATCTGGTTATTAATTCTATTTAAAAAACCTCTTTGATTTAAGCCATTTCTCATGGTAAACTAAACAGATTACCTCAATAATGTTAAATTAATAATCCTCAAACATTCATTTGGTCCATTTTATGTATTTATAGCAAAATGTTTTAATATACCTCAGAACATACTCTAGACGTCATGGTCACCTTTTCGTATCTCACCAGTTATACGGTTATCAATATTTCAAACTATTCTATCATGACTTTCCATAAAGTGGAAACACCTGGCTACAATACTGATAACAAACATTAGTAAAAATGTTTTCTTGATAAATCATTTCTGTGATTGCAGCAAGTGATGTAAGAAAACAGGTGCAAATGAATAAACCCCTAAATACTTTAAAATATATTTAGTTTGCTTTTCAAGTGCATTTCATGTGATATCAAGCCAAGAGAACACTTTTAAACTATATTAGGTTGGGCAAAGAACAAAATAGAACCAATTAAACAGACAGTCATTATTCCAATCCAAAGCCCCAAGTGAAAATTAATGTAAACGACACTTTTCTGTTCATGATATGACGTCTTCATGAATGAATTGTCGTATTATGTAGTCATTTATTTTAAGAAATTTCGGACAGTTTAAAACAACCAGTTTTGAATATGATGAATAACTATTTCGAGCTTCATATAAGTTAAAACAAACAGCATTTACTTTTTTATCTGACTGATACCTTCACGTTGTTAGTATCACTAATCGACCTAAGTTAGACGACCACTAATACCCAAGAAGCACCGAACAGTCGTTTCATTCAAGTGTAGAAATGCTACCAGTGTATATCGACTATCCTGCTTCCTGGGATCGGAACGAGGACCTTCAGTTTTGTATGTGAACGCCTAAGCTCCAGACAAGTGAGGCGGAATTCATTGGTGATAATGTCCAAATTTAATCAGTTTACAATAATCAGCAACGATTTTCCACTCATATTAACTCATCATTATGCTTTCTGAAAGGGTTTTGTTTTAATTTGTTTGAGAAAAAGTAAAGATTTTGAAATTTTTGATTTTCAACAAGAACTTTAATGACTATTTTATCTTGCTGACGTTAAAAAATTGTTTAAATAGCAAGATAACCTTATAAGCTGTCGTTAATATATTTTATAGTGTTCATTTAACCCAACGAAGATTATGTCATAAAATTTAAAACACGGACTATATATGTCCTCGTGTCTAAGCAATGTAAAACACATCTTCAAAGGAATGGGATTAAGATACTATGGTATAAGAGGAGGATAGTTACACTGGAATTTATTGAAATGTTTTTTATAACATTTTGGTTCATTCTTGCAAGATATATGAAAACATCAATAAACGCGTTGCATTACCGTTAATGTAACACTAACTTTTACTTAATGACATTTCCAATAAATATTAGACAATCTTCATTGTTAATATTACCAATATGTGACTTAATATAGCCATCTTTATTGTTACGTTATTGTCATTCCAATATCCCTAAATGAATGGCATGTATGATCAAATTCTATCCATTTTTACTCGATTACGTTTTAACTATGCTACCAGTTACAATTTACAAACTGAATAGTAAATTAGAGCAATCGTGATTCGATAAATTTTGTGTCCATAAAAAGACATACCTTATGCATAATCCCTGAGATCTCTACATTCAGTGGTTGCAACTACCATATATGCATGTGAAATTTGTGTAATCGATGATTTGTATGAATGTGTTTAATTAGCTAGTTAAGAAGCTTTTTTCATCATTGTTTTACATCGTGCGTAGATAGAGAATACTCA